AGCTACAAGCTTTGAAATGGTATAATACTTTAAATAGTATTGTGACAAACAGGAAAGCTATCTTTTACGGCCGTAAAGATCGTCTCTTCCTGCGAGTCTCTTAAAGGTAATTTCTCTGTGGAAATTGATGAAGATCCATGACCAGTTTGCTGGACAAACAGATTATTCGATACTAATTAATTCCATTGAGGAGTATCCTGAGAATCTATATATTCTAGACAATTTGTATATGAATATTGAATTATAATTCGTTATGATTTGATTATTGATAAATAAAATTGATCTATCTTGCCGATCTGTATGAATAATTGATTATACATCCATTGTATTCAGTCGTTCATAACAGATTGGCAACGTAACCCCCTTTGCCGGGTGATTTTTAACATGTATTGTTATCTGGGTCAAACCCGTATCAATAGTTATTAATTTGTAATTACTAAATATTGAATACATATTCCCCAATGGCCCAAATACTTTACACATCATAACCTGTCAGTGTCTTTGTCATGACAACTTGACATTACTAAGACAACACAACCTGTCATAAACATGACATAGCAGATTAATTATAAAACTTAAGAAACCACTTAGCTTTATTGGTTAAAATTACATTAAACTGTCAGGTGGTTGGCTTTGACATTGGCTGTCATGAAGCCATTATAACTTTTTAATGACAAATTCAATTTGTACCACTGTAGTTGAGGTCACGAAAAATATTCATGACACAGTTATAATGGCCTCATGACAGCCAGTGTCAAAACCAACCACATGACAGTTTAATTTAATTTAATGTCAAGTTGTCATGACAAAGACACTGACAGGTTATGATGTTATGGTTTATGTCAAGATGTCATAACAAAGACATCTTAAACAATGTCATATTTGCATTCAAAATGTCATTATTGAGCGAAAGACACTTAATGTCAGTTGTCATAAACATTCATAAACCCTACTTCATATTCATGAAATATGTCATGTCATGGTTATGAAGGTGTCATGTCAGTCTTATGCACACCCCTTCAAGTAAAGTGTTACCGTTAAATGTACAGTGTACGACATGTAATAAAGACAAGAGGCTAACAATGTCAAGATCAATATTTGTGTAGCCTGACACGGTATTTTCACACTGCATCCATTCCAGGAGCGGTGCGTAGCAGTGCAGAGATCATTTACACACCGAGTCTATTTTTGCTGTGCTGCACACGCTGAATTAAAGTGACAGCGCATAGTTCGTGGTCAAAATGAGCACAAATTGACATGACAATGAATTTCATCATAATGCATTTAATTAAATAAAATGTAGTAATTTCACCATACATGCATTTAATTAAATACTACTATTTTTTCACAGTCATCTTTTTACTTTTTAATAGTTTTTTTTTAGAATATTTTGATTTGATAGTTAAAAGATTAAAACATTTTGTTAACATGAGGTCTTGTGTCACTGTCAGTCTTTTTACATCAGTGCAAAACTATGGTATGCAGGTTAAGACCACTATTCATCAGCATGCATTGATTAATCCCATGGCATGTAGCAAAAAAAAAAGGTGCGACCAAATCATATGCTGGTGCGACCAACTGAGAAAGTTGGTAGCACCAGTGCAACCAGTGGAAAAGTTAGTCTGGAGCCCTGTAGAGGCAGGCAGATTTTTTTTCTTTTAAAGGATACTATGCATCCTGATAAAGTTCCCTTGGCCTTTGGAATTAAAATATCCCCACATCATCACACGCCCTTCAGCATACCTAGAGATTGGCATGGTTTTATTTCTGTTAGCCTAATTTGATTTGCATTGAGAGATGATCTTATGATAAGTTCCCCATACCAATCTCTAGGTATGGTGAAGTGATGATGTGGGGCATTTTCAGGATTCTTTTATTATGGGAAAAGTATAGCCTAATAGAATGGGATAGTATAATATTGGAGACTATGAGCTTGGTGAACGTATTGTTTTTTTTAATGTGTCTAATGAACCAATTATTATTTTTTCAATTTAATTATAATTAAAATACTTAATTTTTCCCCCCAGCATCATTCAGAACACAGACATTGGCCTCCTGTATGTCTAAGACTCCATCTACAGCTGAAAGAAAGGAGTTCATTTATGATTTCATAAAGACCTTTATTGAAGCGTACATCCCTCTGGAAAAAAAACCTCTAAATTTTCCTCATTTTTACAGAAGTACTGCAAACAGGGAGGGTCGATTCCAGCTCCATCTCACCTACGCTCTGATTACCTTCCACACTTATTTCCTCATTATTTGGAGGACATCAAGCAGGCTGTAAATGGAAGTCCTGTTTATGTGATTGGAGATGAAACGACAGATGCTTGTGGCCGTTGTGCTCTTGCTATTCTCCTCCAGCCAGTGGGCAAGCCACCTGTTGCAACAGATCTCATTTTTTTTGGATCGGGTTAATTTCAGCACCGTATCGCAGGCTGTCATCTCCTGTCTTAACTCCAACAACATTGATTTCAATGATGTATCGGCTTTTGTCACAGATTCTGCAAGTTATATGAAAAAAGCATATAACACGATTCTCTATGGCCTCTTTCCCAATGCAGAACATGTCACCTGTCTTGCACATCTTCTGCAGTTAGTTTCAGCAGTGTTTCCAGACACATTTGAAGAACTGAACCAGATGTGTGGTTTGGTAAAGCGTGTTTTCTGCCAGTCACCCCAGCGTCGTCTTGAATTGAGGGCCTTCATGATGCAGCAGGGTCTGTCTCCTCTCATGCCAGTGTTTGCTGTCCAGACAAGATGGGGTTCCTGGATAAAAGCTGCCATCCAAACGCTGCCACTGTCCTCTAAAGCTGTGCAGGATCTTAGAGTTCTGTTAGAGGAGAACGGAAAACTCCTGAAAATCCAGGCCACCTTCATCGTTGAGCACAGCTCTGATATACTTGCCACCCTGGTCAAGCTTGAAGAAACCTCCAGACCCGTGGCTGCCACAATCTTCAGCCAGCTAGAGGACCTCAGCATGCTATTTGCATATGGGCGCACCGCAGAGGCTGAGGACTGGCGTCCCCGCACCAGAGAGCAGATGAAGGAGTTAGATTATGATGAGCGGTATTTGTTCAGAGCTGTTTAAAGAAGCAATGGCACAATGTTCTACCAAGCTTCAGGCTGTGATGGAGAGACATCCTTGCACTGAACTATTTAAAGCCCTCCCAATCTTTGATCCATCCAAGGTATCTGGTTTAAAACCTGATATTAAGAATTATGTCCAAGTTGTCCCTGCTTTGAGCAAGGTATCTGCAGAGGAGTGGCATCGCTACATCTGTATGGACAAGAGTGATGCAGGTGAGGTTAGTGCAGTGGAGTGGTGGGCTGCAAGGGAAGATCGAATGCCAACACTTGCCCCACTGGCTGCTCTGTACCTGCATCTCCCCACTACTTCAGTGGATGTGGAGAGACTTTTTTCCCACTATTCTGCACTTCTAACACAGCACAGACACAGCCTAACCGAGGACAATGTTAAAATGATGCTGATTGCTAAATTCAACAGCAGACTCAAAATAAGCTCACAAACTCGCATAGTTTTTCTGATGTCAAAATACTTTTTCTGATGCTAAATTAGTAGTAAAATAGAAAATTACTATAATTATAGTAAAATGTATTTAACTGTTCTGTAATTAATTGTCACACCAGTATTTATTTATTTATTTAAAAGTAATTTATAGCTATTAAATGTAGTTCATTACTTTATTTACTCAGGTATTTATTTTGCCCTATTCTTAAATGATATGAAATTGTTTGTTTAATGATTTGTGTACAATACAATTGATAAAGTAATATTTTCTCTGTCGTTTAGTGGATGGAGGATAAGAGAGATCTAGTTTTGTTGTTCTATTTGAATCTGTATTGTAAACCTTAAATAAAAATTAAGAAGTGAATATTTTATATTTTATTTTGTAATGTTTTCAGTTCCAATACTCTAAGATCTGTTTTACACATTTAAAACCATTCCGCATAATTCCGGCGATTTTTCCAAAAATTCAGCACAGAAATCACAAAAAAAAGTCTGCAGATTCCGTGTGGCCCTGCTTATGACTTAGTTGCCACAGTTTCTCATTGTCGTTCCCAAAGCGTCATCGACGCAGCGCGAGTTCCCTCGAAAGGGAATGTCTCAGGTTACGACTGTAACCCTAGTTCCCTGAGAAGGGAACGAGATGCTGCATCGCCCTGCCATACTTCCTGCATCCCTGTGATCGACTTGCTTCGGCTAAATCGAAGCTAACGCCGGTCAGACCGGATGTGCTTTTATCCTTTCCAGCGTCTCGTTCCCTTCTCAGGGAACTAGGGTTACAGTCGTAACCTGAGACGACTTGCACATTCAAGTTACAAATGGCAGCGCAACTTAGAAATAATGTGGAAAATATACTGAAAACTTACATCAGGTCAGTTTTAAATGCTAAACGAACCATGCACAATTGCAATACCGGGGTATTTATGTAATGAAAATTACTTGATTGACAATAACTTTGAATTATTGTAATGTATTGTCAAGGCCTCCTTCCCATTACCTCTGTACAGATAATCGTTGTCGGGATAATTCCGGTTCACGTGGCTATGCCGAAGCGATACAATTCTTTATTATAAATTTTAAGGCCAGACAAGTAGTTTGGTGAGGGTTGTTTTTTTTTGTTTTGTTTTTTAGGGAAGGACTACATGCCTGCGCACATATCACGCACGCGCACGCTATCAGCGTTCTCACAGGTTCGCGTTTTTAAAGTTTGAACTTAAGAGTTTTTTGTTAAAACGGTGTCGTGTTAGCGGCCCCTAAGTTAATAACAAATGATCGTTGCGAAGAAAGTGAATCAATCAAAACTAACTTTAACTGGAAAATAACTTTATTCTAGAGCTGCCATAAAGCCAAAAAAATCTGTTACTTTAATTTCCTATTATCACTGTAAAGCCTCTTTGGAACAATCTACATTATTAAAAGCGCTATATAAATGAAGATGACTTGACTTGACTCATAAAAATGTTTTTAATCATCATTACTCTTTGGGGTCGGGTCGCGGGGGCAGCAGTTCCAGCATGGGACCCCAAACTTCTCTTTCCCGAGCCACATTAACCAGCTCTGACTGGGGGATCCCGAGGCGTTCCCAGGCCAGTGTGGAGATATAATCTCTCCACCTAGTCCTGGGTCTTCCCCGAGGTCTCCTCCCAGCTGGACGTGCCTGAAACACCTCCCTAGGGAGGCGTCCAGGAGGCATCCTTACCAGATGCCCAAACCACCTCAACTGGCTCCTTTCGACGCAAAGGAGCAGTGGCTCTACTCTGAGCTCCTCGCGGATGGCTGAGCTTCTCACCCTATCTCTAAGGGAGACACCAGCCACCCGCCTGAGGAAACCCATTTCGGCCGCTTGTACCCGCGATCTCGTTCTTTCGGTCATGACCCAGCCTTCATGACCATAGGTGAGGGTAGGAACAAAAATTGACCGGTAGATCGAGAGCTTTGCCTTACGGCGCAGCTCTCTTTTCGTCACAACGGTGCGGTAAAGCGAGTGCAATACCGCCCCCGCTGCTCCGATTCTCCGGCCAATCTCCTGCTCCAATCTCCCCTCACTCGTGAACAAGACCCCGAGGTACTTAAACTCCTTCACTTGGGGTAAGAGCTCATTCCCTACCTGGAGTTGGCATTCCACCGGTTTCCTGCTGAGAACCATGGCCTCAGATTTAGAGGTGCTAATCCTCATCCCAACCGCTTCGCACTCTGCTGCGAACCGATCCAGTGAGAGCTGAAGGTCACGGACCGATGATGCCATCAGGACCACATCATCCGCAAAAAGCAGTGACGAGATCCCAAGCCCACCGAACCGCAACCCCTCCCCACCACGACTACGCCTCGATATCCTGTCCATGAATATCACAAACAGGATTGGTGACAAAGCGCAGCCCTGGCGAAGGCCAACCCTCACCTGGAAAGAGTCCGACTTACTGCCGAGTACTCGGACACAGCTCTCGCTTTGGATGTACAGGGATTGGATAGCCCTGAGAAGGGGCCCCCTCACCCCATACTCCCGCAGTATGAATACTCTTGAATTAACTTTTTTTATTCAGCTTGTTGCAGTGCATTCTGGGATTGCATTGTCAGTGAAGGATGCATGCAATACTGCCTTTAGATTTGGACCAAAATTAGGTAATTTGTAATTATACTGCCTGTCTTTTAAAGCAGTCTTGGATGCGTTTCCCAAAAGCATTGCAAGCCTAAGTTGATTGTTGAGATCATTGGTTCTAGGATCAACTTTAGCTTACGATGCTTTTGGGAAACGCAGCCCTGGACCTGTAACATGCTGTTGTGGTTGGCAGCTTACTAGATTTTGGAGCGGAGCTATTGTCATTATTGTCAAAATAATTGCTTTTCGCCATTATCGCTTGTTGTCCAAAACAAAAATTAACCACCAAAATTAGCATAATTTTGTTATTACATTGAAACTGATCTCTTTCCCCTGCATACCTCAGTCACAGGAAGTGGCCTCACCTGGCTGATGTCAGTTCCTGATCAGTGGAGTGCAGCTGATCACCTGTCTGAATCTAGAACGGCCCACCGGGGGATGATCTGGTCTTATGGTTGCTGTCCGGTGTGGAGTGGGATACGGATTAACACACCCAGTTACTCAGGTAACTCTGATATAAGTTACAGGGCTCTCAAGTTTTGAAGACAGGCAAGAGTGACATCACCCCCCCGCCACCCCCCCCCCCCCCCCCCCCCACAAATTTTAAAGACTGAAATAGTATCTTCTTGTCAAACATGCACCAATAGTCTGTTTTATTTATTAACATTGAATTCCTTTTTCTTTTACAGTAAGTGCGTATGTATTATGGAAGCCGAATTTCATGTCCCATGTTGAAAGTTAGTACCAGAGTATGATTGTACATGGCAAACTCATTGTTCTGTTTATGGTAGAAATAACTTTATTTTTCACATTTGAGGGACCAAACGATAACAAATGAAAACGTACCTGCATGCCGTAATGCATGTGTCCCACAGGGTGTTTAAGATGTTCATTTTTATTATGAATACTTTATTTAAATGAACGCTTATACGCAAATTGCATCTGCATACAATTACCTGCTGTAGAGGTTGAGAATGTGTTTTTGAGACTCAAGGCCACCTGCTACTCTTTCATGTTGACCTCCAAAAGCTTCTGCCATCTGTTTTTAAAACAAAAATACATCTCTCAGAGAGGAAAGGTGAGATAAATGAGGAAAGACTTTCTCACTTTCGACTTCCCCAGACAAAAAGTCTTTGTTTGGGTACTGAATTGTGAAGACTTGAGGAGACAATTACAAGCACTTCTTAGCTCAGCGGATGAACTTCCTGTTGAGACAGAATACCTCTAAATGAAAATGTTTTTCTGATGTGTTTTAGTGCTTTTTGCCAAGGCAGGCATCACAATTACTATAACTAAAATTTATTTCCTTCAGTTTTGCATTGAATAAAATCCAAGCAGTGTCGTTACCATTAACTAAATACTGTATTAATGCTGTCATGCGATTATTTTTTCCAGTTTAAAAATATTTAACGCAATAGAGAATGGCAACTGACGTCACTGCGACGTCATCACGCAATGTATTGTGGGGAGTATCCGCCATATTGTGAGGCCACACAAGCCGGTAACCAAGCAACACACAATGTTTATGTCGTAAGTTAGACTGTATGAATTATTTATTTGAGCATCCTAAAAAACTAGTTTAAAACAAGGTGGATTGTACAGAGACAAACTCCTACCGGACGCCAAGAAACGCTATCTTGAAAAAATTAACTTTTCTAAAATTATTGGAAATGTCGATCCTTATGAAGTCCCAAAAGATCAGTGGATCCGCGACCCTGACGCCTTACCTCCCGTCACATTTCCTGATATTTTTACCTATTTTGTTTGTGGTGTTAGTGCCTATACCGCTGAGCAGTTTCGTAATTATAAGTCTCTGGAAGCCCACGTTCAGTTTACCAATGGTTGAGTACATGACCTGGAATGTTTTAAGTCTGTCAACTGTGAAAACGCTGTCATCCGAACGAAGGTAAGTTACCAGATTTCTTTCTTTTAGCATGTTTCTATAACCGGCAACGTTACAATGGTATTAGGCCATTTGGTTGTTTATTTGTCATTATACAAGACAGGGTTGTATGTATACCGATAATTAAAAATAAATAAATAAATTAACGATTAAAACACTGCCGTCCGAACGAAGGTAACTTGACCGGCTTTCGTTCTTTTAGCATAGTTGTAGACTACGACACCGGCAATAAGGTTGTGTATGTGTCATTGTACAGCACAAGCTTGTATAACGATACAAATAAATAAATAAAGCCTTAAACAGACAAAGTGTAACGTTAGCGAAGTTTGAACGAGCTAGCGGCTGCTGCTTTTACAAGCGTTTCCGGTTGCAAAAGCAGAGAGAGAATACATTAACATTACAATATCCATCTGTTTTACAATATTCACATTTGTTTTATCTTTGTTAAGGTAATGAACCGCCTTTAACACTAGAACGGCCATGACGGTCATTTTGACCGTTTTGAATTTTATATCTGCAATAACTTTGTTGAAAAAATAAATAAAATCCTGCTGGTACCTGACTTTTCCTAAAAGTGTCTGTATTTTCATTTAAAATGTTTTTAATATAAATTACACATAAGGCAAACAAACAAATGAACATATTTACCTATTTCGGCCATAGACGGTCATATTGACCGCACTGAATTTCGCGGTATTCTTTTGTTACATTTCTCGCGGTTGACCTTTGTCTATTAGGAAATAATCAGAAGATTCAATAGATGTTATTCGATCTGCGTCATCAATGTTTGTGGCAGCCATTTTGTTGACATAGAAACCACGGCAACTGTCAGTCTGTCAATTGACAAGCGAGGCAGCGTCGGTATTATCCATGGTATTATCACTGTATTTTTTTTTTAAACAGCGTGATGGTGTGTTGTGTAATACACAGCTGTCCTAACAACAGCAATAAGAACCCCGGAGTTAGTTTTTATGCGATAAGTTACCGACTGTCAGAAAACGTGAAGGGAAAGAGACAGAGTTGAGCCAGCGCAGGAGAGGCTATAGCTAGGATAAATAGGCTAAACTTTGAGCCAACTCCCCACAGAAAAGTCTGTTCCCATCATTTTACCACAGGTTTCACACATAATCCGTGTGCAATGCGTGTGCGGTGCGTATACGGTACAGAAGCAGGACGCGCTATACTTTATATGCTGCGTTTGCAGTGCGTAACTGATCCTCGGCTGTACCACAAACACCCACACTCACTATTTTTATTTTAACACATACTCACTATTTTAACAACGTAAGCCAATTATTCCATGCATTACTTCTATATATTTAGTTGCTCAAGCAAGTGGTCAAATATGTAACCATGTACTTATATTAAAATCGCAAACATTTTAAATGAAAACTTAAAATTGACAAAAACAATGTCTCATGCCTTTTCTTTTGCATTTACATTTTAATATAACAAATCTTGTATGTCACAAGAACTTGTTTTTCCACCTCCACGAATGAGACGAGTGTCGTGATCATTGTTGCCTTGTTGAGGTAAATTGTAGTTTGTATACGGATACTGTATGAACGAGATAAGTTAGTTATAAATATCCGGATAAGTTACGGCTGGCAATAAGGACGGATCTTTACTTAATGCTATTGGGTCTATTTGATGTGGGTCCACACCAATCAAGCTTATCTTCTCTTGATACCGACGAGATGAAGCCATTAGGCTAACGTTACTGCTCCCCTCAACTCAAATCTGCGCGCGGCTAGAGGCAGCAGGACAGATGTCATGTCAACAATATGGCCGCGGTTAGCTACTTCCGGTGTTTGCGAATAAGGTCTATTGCAAAATGACAGATACGTTGATTGAGAGCTGGTCAGATGCTGGGAGAGTTAAGGTGTGCAAATGTCCGGTATGAAGCCCTTGGCAGCACAGGGACGCTGGAGTGAGTGCTGAACCAGGAGTGCTGAACACGGGATGACACACGGAAAACGGATACAGGCAGGGAACAAACACGCAGGAAAAATCCACAACGATCTGACAAAGACTAGGCGACAACAGTATAACACTGAAAAGGGTCGAATCGCTGATCAGTTGCAGCTGGCGCGTTGATCAGAGCGGGCGTGCTGATCAGCTGCAATGATCAGCGACCACGCACACACACACACAACAAGACGAGAACGGAGACAGCGAATTCATAAACCGTGACATTGTCTCTCTCACTGTCAAAAGAATATCTAAATAAGATAGCTACTTTTAGTTGTTATTATCTTGCAGAGGTGGGAGTAAGTCACACATGTGCAAGTCACAAGCAAGTCTCAAGTCTTAACCTTCGAGTCTCAAGCAAGTCCAAGTCAATTTTTTATAAAAGCAAGCAAGTCAAGTCAAGTCACTGCCTTATGTCAAGCAAGTCAAGTCAAGTCGTAGCTTGGGTCACAAGTCACTGGCAAGTCATACAAACGTTTGATGATTTCACTGAATTTATATATTAAAATAAGTTAAAACTACATAAGTTGTGGACTATGGTTTTATTTGCAACATATTTTTTTTAAATATGCATTTCCACATACAGCTGAGTGGTTACTACAATAAAAATCTAAAAAATAAAAAATAAATACAATTTCAAACTACATAGCCTAAAATGTAAATGTAACTGAAATTAGGCCAACATTAAAGCATGAAAAAATAAATA